CGAGAAAGTTAAGGGATGGCAAATATGAACAATTGTATTTCAACAGATGCAGGAAGCAGTTGAAATATGGCTTCACAACATCTGGGGATTGCACACTTGGTCATCTAGAAACCAGATTGGATCAGTTACACATGGAAAGGAATAACTTATTGCTAGACCACATTTCTATATTTAAAAAAGTCTCCATTACTAGGTTCTTTTTTAAAAGACACCAAATAGACCAGGGAGTTACTAAAAAATGCAAGGGGGCTGTGAGAAAGCAAGTCATACTATGAATAGGACCTTACCTTATGAGTTGCCTCTCTAGCAAAATCAACTGTAGAAAGGAAAGACACTATCTGTTAAATGAAAGGTAATAAATGGAACTCTCCGGAGGACACAAATACCTCCTGAAATCCTGTAACTCAGCAGGGTACAGATGAGACACGCCCTCTGTAGATACAGTGTGCAACTACCAGTGTGACTCTGAGTGTCCGTTTCCTGTCTCTGTAGTGAAGCACCAAAAGCAAAGACTGATTCCAGGCTGAAGCAAATAGGTTGTTTTATCTGTTAATGAAAACAGGGAGCTCAAACTAGGGAAAGGTATGAAAAAAGGCCTTTTGAATTTCCTGACTAATCCCTGCAGGTGCATGAAAACATGTTTAAATAAACAGGATTATTTCCATATATAATACAAGGAGGCCAGTTGGTTGAGAGTATTACATAGGTAATTGACGAGGATTTGGTTAGCCAATGGATGTAATGTGCCTAACATGGAGTAAACAGACAGTACCCAGTGCCTATACCTGAACACATTGGGAAACATGCGGTATTTATTATTTGAGCAAAGACCTCCAGCAGGCTTAAACTCTTTGGACAAAAAGCTAATGTCAAATACTGAACAAAGGTGGCTCACGCCTGTAATCCCAGCACTTTGGGAGGCCGAGGTGGGCGGATCACGAGGTCAGGAGATCGAGACCATCCTGGCTAACACGGTGAAACCCCGTCTCTACTAAAAATACAAAAAAATTAGCCTGGCGAGGTGGCGGGCGCCTGTAGTCCCAGCTACTCGGGAGGCTGAGGCAGGAGAATGGCGTGAACCCGGGAGGCGGAGCTTGCAGTGAGCCGAGATCCGGCCACTGCACTCCAGCCTGGGCGACAGAGCAAGACTCCGTATCAAAAAAAAAAAAACAAAAAAAAAAACAAAAAAACAAACAAACAAAAAACCAAATATTGAACAAAGGAAGTTGCTAGAGGAGTGTCTTACTGATTTATTCTTAAAATCCTTGTAGGATTTTTGGGATCTCAGTTTAGTACTTCCTATCTTTAATTTGGTGTGAAAACTTCAATTGTCACATCTACACATATAAGCACTCACACAGACACATTTACTGAAATATAGACGCCTGTATTCATATATTCTGGAACACACAAATACCTGCCTATTTATACACTCTAAATACACATATACACATATATGCATATGCCACATATTTAGACATATATAAACATACATTAATATATTTACATGTATATGCACAAACATACATGTGCATATAAAATACATATATAGTGTCTTTATATAGTAAATATATAGTATATTTATATAGTAAATATATACAGTGTATTTACTATATAAAATATATGTAGTAAAAAACTGGAGTGGCTCTATCTACTAGAAGATAAAGTAGACTTCCATAGAAGGCACATTACTACGGATAAAGAAGCACATTTCATAATGATAAATAGGTCAATTCATCAAGAGAACATAATCATAATTGTGTGTGCATCTAGTAAGAGAGATTTAAAATACAAGAAACAAAACCTGAATTGAAAGGAGAGGTAGACAAACACAATTACAATTGGGAATTTCAACCACCTTCTGCCAGTTATTGATAGAATAATTAGAGAGTAAGTTATAGAAGAAGGCTGAACAACACTACTAACCAAACTTTCATTAATACTTATGAAATAGCCATCCAACAATAGCAGAGTTTACTTATTTTATCAAGTTCATGCAAAAAATTCAAGACAGACCATACCTGGGTCACAAAAAAGATTAAATAAATGTCGAAGAATTTAAAAAATGAAAGTATTCCTTTAATCACAACAGAATCAAACTAGGAACTGGTAACCCACATTGTATCTGGAAAATCTCCACATATTTAGAATGTAAAAACAGACCACAAATTAATGCATAGGAAAAAGAAGAAATTACAAGGAAATTTATGAAATATTTTGAACTGAATGTAAATGTGAACACAACCTTGTTTTGTGGGATGAAGCTAAAAGAGCGCATAGGAGGAAATGGAGAGCAATGCAATGCTAATATTAGAAATGAAGAAAAGCCTTAAGTTAATCTAGGCTTCTATATTTAAAAAGAAAAACAAGAGAGAACTAAACCTAATGTAAAAAAGAGTGAAGTGAAAACAATGAAATAAAAATGAGAAAACTGAAAGAGAAAATTAATGGAAACAATACCTGGTGTTTTGGAAAGATCAACTTTTATCCAGTTCAAAGCTGGATAAACATCTAGCCAGATCAGTAAACTAAGAATAGAAGGAAACTTTCTTAAGCCGATAAACAGCGTCTTCAAAACCCTACAGCTAGCATACCTTACAGAGAAGATAATGGTTTTCTCGAACTAAGACTGGAGACCTTGCAGGAATAGGAAATCTCCCCCTTTTATTCGACATTTATGCTGGTGCTAGCAGTAAAATAAGGCAGGAAAAAGAAAGAAAAGAAATGCTTATTAGAAAAGAGTAAAATGGCCTTTATTCACCGTGGCGTAAACACCTCTGCAGGAAATCCTAAGGAATCTAAAAAACAGATAATAGAACAAATAAGTGAATAGTTCAGCAAAGTCTGAAGATGCAAAGTCAATAAACAAAAATCCCTTCCTACATCCTAACAACAGACAATTGGATTTTTTTGTTGTTGTTGTTGTTGAGATGGAGTCTCGCTCTGTTACCCAGGCTGGAGTGGCACGATCTCGGCTCACTGCAAGCTCCTCCTCCCGGTTTCACACCATTCTCCTGCCTCAGCCTCCCGAGTAGCTGGGACTACAGGTGCCCACCACCACATCAGGCTAATTTTGTGTATTTTTAGTAGAGACGGGGTTTCGCCATGTTAGCCAGGATGGTCTTGATCTCCTGACTTCGTGAACCGCCCGCTTTGGCCTCTGAAAGTGCTGGGATTACAGGCATGAGTCAGTGTGTCCAGCCAGACAATTGAAAATTTAAGTTCATTCTGTAATACCATTTGCACTGATATCAAAAATATAAAATACATGGGGATAAAATTGATGATGTACGTGCGAAAGTTGTACACTAAAAACTCTAAAACATTGCTGAGTACTAATTAAAGGAGACTGAATTTTCAGGTAAGTGACAAAGTAATTTAAAAAAGAAAGGTAATCTTTTCAGCAAATAGTCCTGGAACATTGGGATATTCATATTTTGAAAATTTTACATTGATTTTTATGCGAAGTATCCCATATGCAAAGTTTTTATCAAAATGAACCAAAAACTTAAATATGAGCGCTAAAAGTTTAAAAAGGCCAGGAAAAAATGGGGTGATCTTTGTGACCTTGAGATAGGCAAAGGTTTCACAGTGAAGACACAAAACTTAAACACCATGGAAAGAAATGATACGTTTGACTTTATTTAAAAGAAATACTTTTGACATTTCAAAAAAAGTGTGAAGAAGTAAATAATAACGTCATATACTGGGAAAGAACATTTGCAAAACATATATACAATGAGTGACTCATATCCAATATTCAAAAAGAACTCATAACTTAATAATAGGCAACCCAATCAAAAACTGGCAAAGTATTGCACAAACATGTCACCAAGGAAGACATATGATCAATGTGAGGAAGATGCTCAACATGATTAGTCGCTAGAAGAATGTAAACTGAAACCCTGAAACCATATGAAAGATCACTACATATGTATTAGAAGAGCTAAAATTAAAAGAGATAGACAATAACACGTGGTGTTGAAGATGTGAAGTAACTGGAACTCTCTCATATACTGTTGAGGGAAACTGAATCTCATACACTTACTTTGGAAAAACAGTTTGACAGCTTTTTATAAAGATAGACATATTTATATGATACAGCAATTCAACTTCTGGGAATTTATCCAAGAGAAAACATGCCCACACAAAAGTGCTTGTTTACAGCAGTTTCATACATAATAGTCACACCCTAGAAACAGAAGTCCATCAACTGGTGATCGAACAGATAATTTCTGTTATAACGTACAATAGGAATACTACTAGGAAATAAAAGGGAATGAACTATTTACATGCCCAACAACTTGAGTGAATCTCAAAAGCATTATAAATGAAATAAGCCAGACAAGACACCACATATTATATAATATAGTGTAAATTTCTTAAAATTCTGTGAAAGGTGGCTCACACCCGTAATCCCAGGACTTTGGGTGACGGAAGCCGGAGGATCATTTAAGCCCAGGAGTTCGAGACAAGTCTGGACAATATAATGAGACCTAGTGTCTACAAAAAATAAAATTAGCAGGGTATGATGGTGCCCGACTGTAGTCCCAGCTACTTGGGTGGCTAGGGCAGGAGGATTGCTTGAGCCAAGGAGGTCAAGGTTGCAGTGGGCCAAGTTTTCCCCACTGTACTCCAGCCTGGGCAACACAGTGAGACCGTGTCTCAAAAAAAAAAAAATTGTCATGAAAGGAAAAACTATGTTGATAGAAAGCAAATTAATGCTTGCCAGGATCCAAGGTCAGGAAAGATAGTGATTACAGAAGGAAAAACAAGAAAGATGATGGGAACTTCCCATAGCATGGTTGTTGCGGTGTTTACGTGATTGACTTCATGATCCTTTTGTTATGGATGAGTTAATTTTTAAATTCCTTCCCTAAACTAACAAGTCTGCCTACTTTTATCTTTGATCTAGAATTAGTACTAATTTTTTTCATTTGGATTGGGTAAGAGCCTCTTTTGACTGAAGCTTGCTCAGCACCTAAGTAAGTGATGTACATAAAAGACCTTGTAGTGCTCTCCTGCTGATCTCCATCAGTTAGCACCTCTCCATGATTAATCCAGAGCTGCGGGATGGCAGACCTGATGGCTTCAAACGTCGGACAAGTAAGTTTTACAGAGTGAATGAGAAGGAAGTAAGGGAAAGATAAAATACAGGACAGCGTAAAAATGTGGACTCTTTACTTACGCTGAAAGTCTACTAAAGTGAAGCATGGGGAAGCACTTTGGGAGGATTGTGGAAGCCTCCTAGAGCATGTAGAGTTTTACGTCTGCAAGAGAGGGTATAAGCTTGTGTGTAGGAAGGTTTGGGGGAGAATTTTATGGTACGTGTATTATAGCTCAATAAGGATGTTTTTAAAATGTACTTTCACAGGAAAAAAATTGCTTCACACTTTTATACAGAATAAAAAGCAAATGCTTCACTCTGGAAGGAGGCTTGACGATTGTGACTTAATGAGACTGAAAAGAACTTTTCAAAAAGTGTAAGATTCAGCTGAGGCTAACAATGGAGTTGGTTTTCAGTGGATTGAAACATAAACAAACCAACAAATAAAAACAAGGTACACATACAAACGCCCTCCATTCACAGTAGTTCAGAGGGTTTATGTTAAAGAAAACAAATGAATTGTATGCCAAATGACTGGAATAGGAAGCCTGCCAAAACTTTAAGATAAAGACAGTGAAGAGATAAAAAGTAAAATCTTGAAATCAGTTACGGACTCCAGCTGAAACCTCTGTTAAAGTTTACTGGTATGAATTCCCAGGACAACTGGGATAATTCTCTTAATAAGAAGTAAGCCTGATACTCTTAAAGTTTGAAGAGACCTCAGTAGCTACCTAATAAAATTTTTCATCTACCGTGCCATTTCTAGCTATAGCACTTCTAGCAGCCTAGACTAGAATGTTTTCAGTGATAACATCTCTCAGTCTTAGAAGACTTTCCATTTTAATTTAGGGATGTTCTAGTTAGAAGTTTCTTTAGGGTAAGGTTAAATTTACCTCCTTTTGTATTCTAACTATCAGTCATAGTTACGAACTCTTGATCTATGAAAACTTTATGAGAAATTTTTTTTAAGTTATTCTAAATTTTAAACAACTGGACATTAGTATTACAAAAATAAATAAGATTCCATTCCTTTATCCAAATAAATTAGTCAGGCTTGTCTGGGTAACAGATTTAAGAGTTTAGAGAGTATAAAGTGGAAGAAAATTTGTCTCATTGCATAATGAAAAGAGGCAAAATATGAAGTACTGTGAAGGATTTACTGGAAGATTATGAGAAAACCAGGCTGCAGGAATCATTAGAACATCTATTTTGAGAATTTAATTAAAGCATAATAAAAATGTTCCAAAAGAAAAGAAATAAAATGAAGAAGAGCCAAGAATGCAATAAAAACCAAGTGAAAATAATAGTTATAGAAATATAATCTTTGAAATAAAGAACATTTTGAGGAGTTAATTAGTAGAATGGATGCTGATTAAGAATGAATAAGATCTAGGAGACGCTATTATAAACATGACAGAAAAGAAAACGTTAGAAAAGATAAAATAAAAGCTGAGAGATATGAAAAATAGAAGTAGAAATGCTACCTTCTAGATAACAAGAATCTGAAACGGAGCGAGAGAGAAAAAGAATAGTGGATAGGAAATATTTGAAGAAATAATATTCCAACTTCTAAAATTAATAAAAGCCAAACACCTCAGATTGAAACTTCAAAAGTGTGCAAACAAAATAGATAAGAAAAAACATGTATCTTGGCACAATGGAGTGAAATAAAAATATACAAAATAAAAAATAGAGGTAACAAGAGATGTTAATGAAAAAGAGAAGAAATGAGAAGGATAACAAATCAAATGGTGGCTATTAGAAAAGACTAAAGAATAAGATGTCTGAAAGTTTGCAGAAGAAGATACATTAAACAAAACGCCAAAAAAGTACAAATAATCACAAAAACCACAAATACGAAAATTTAATAAAACATTATGGAAATAATTCATCAATCATTATGGGGCAAACTGTGTTCTCTTAAAAATTTATATATTGAAGCTCTAACCCCCTCTACCTCAGAATGTGACCTGGTTTGGTGATAGTGTCTCCACCACGTTAAAATTAGGTCGATAGGGTGGGCCCTAATTTAATATTACTGGTGTTCGCATAAAAAAGGAAAATTTAGAGACAGACCCATTTACAGGGAGAATGCCATCTTCAAGCCGAGGAGAATAGCCTGGAACAGATTCTTTCCTTACAGGACTCATAAGGAACCCATCCTACCAGCATCTTAATTTCAGACTTCTTGTCTCCAGAACTGTATGACAATGCATTCCTGTTAATTTTAGCTGCCCAGTTTGTGACAACGTATTAGGGCAGACCTAGCAAACTAAAACATTAATGCATTTATAAATATAAGAAAAAGAACAGGGAGGTCTAAAAAATATAAAATACCAAAATACAATGAGAATAAACAAATAATTGTAGAACTATAGAAATTAAAAATAAATAAATTGAAAAGGCAACTAAAATAGAGTGATCTACTGATCTTTCAAGAAATAGCTAATTTTTGTATTGGACATCTTGCTTCAAAAAATAGCAAAATGAGAAATTTACCCCAATTTAATAGAATTTTTGATTTCCAAACAAGGTTAGAACAAGACAATAAGAAACAGACTCATCTTCTTATGAAATTAGAAATAGAAATCCCAAGAAAATATTCATTTACTATATACAACAAAGCAGTTAAAAATTCATATTTAAGTGGATTTACCTTAGGAGTGCTTTGATATCAGAACAGCAGTGCAAGCTACCCCATTAAACATTTTTGAAAGTCCACACGATTATTCAGTAAGTGTATTTGATAACCACAAGAAAACATTTGACAACATTCAATGTCTGAGATAAGTTCCTTTTAATAAACCAGGAATAGAAAAATTCTTTTTTAAATTGCTAATGTTGTATGTTAAATTCATACAGCATTTTTACAGTGCTTAATAATGAAAATTTAAACATTCCGCTTAAGATTAAAAACAAGAAAAAGTGTTCACTGTAACTACTACTGTTTAGCAGTAGTGTAGTACAATGCTAAAGGTAGCCAGTGATATAAGAAAACAAAAGGAATTATAAAGGAAAAGGATTGCAATGGAAGAGTTGTATCTGCAATATTTTCAGATAATTTGATTATATAAAAATAAATACCAACAGAATCAACTAGAAAACTATTAGAAATAATACCAGAGTTCAACAAGGTTACTTAAAAGTGCACATTTAACAAATCAATACTATTTCGGTATACTAGAAGTGTTGTTTTTATTTAGTTTTTTTCAGCTAGTTTTGTTGTCACCGTGAGAACGGTAGGGATGACTTCCAATCTATTGTAAATATCGCATGCCAGAGCAGGAATGAAGGACATGTATTTTAATTAAAAATAAAAACTGCTAAAGAGTTTTCCAAAACACTTATACATTTTTGAACTTCAACCAGTGGTGTATGTGTTTTGGGTAGTCTATATCCTGCTAACACTTGATACTGTCAGTCTTTTTCATTTTAACAGTACAAGTGACAAGTAGTCATATTCCATTGTGGTTTTATTTTGCATTTTGCTTGTGACTAATAATATGGAACATCTTTTATGTCCTTATTGGTCACTTGCGTGTATTCTTTTGTAAGTATTTGTTCAGTACTTTGGTTCATTTTTTTGATCAAGTTGTTTGTACTATATTTCTAAATTACAGACCTTTTAATATTTTCGATACTAGTCTTTCTAGTTGCATACATGTGTTGCAACTATTTTCTCTCAGTCCGTAACTTGCATATTTATATTCACAACAGTGTCTTGTATTTCAAAATGGGCAGTTTTAAGTTTCTTTCTTTCTTTCTTTCTTTTTTTTTTTTAAGACAGAGCCTCACTCTGTCACCCAGGCTGGAGTGCAGCAGCACAATTCTGATCACTGCAGCCTCCGCCTCCTGGGTTCAAGTATTCTCTTGCCTCAACCTCCCAAGTAGCTGGGATTACAGGTGCCTGCCTCCATGCCTGGCTAATTTTTTGTATTCTTAGTAGAGAAGGGGTCTCATCATGTTGGCCAGGCTGGTCTCAAATTCTTGACCTCAGGTGATCCACCCGCCTTGGCCTCCCAAAGTGCTGGGATTACAGGCATGAGCCACCATGCCCTGCACTTAAATTTCAATTACATTCAATTTATTATTTTCTTTTAATTTTACACTGTACTTTCTCTTCTCTCTCTAAGACATCTTTACTAATTCTCATGGTCACAAACAATTTATTTTATGTGTTTTAGAAATTTTATGGTTTCAAGTTTTATGTTCAGGTCAATGAAATGTCTTAAATACATTTTGTAAAATGATGTTGTAGTACGGTAAAGTCTTTTTTTCTCAGTTGTTTCAATACCACTTGTGTAAGACGTGGCTTTGCCCATAAATTACTTTTTCAAGTGTCTGAAATTTATGAAGTGGTTTTGTCTTTTCCTCTTCCTTGTTCTTCATTTCTCCCTAATCTTGGGGGGCGGGGGAAACCACCACATTTTGTATTTTCTATCTTTAGCTATTGTTTCTCTTGATGTAAGATAAATTACCAAACTCTTCTTCTTATCAAACATTCTCTTTGTAAACATCTTAGAATCTGGCTTCTCTCAATCTCTTCTTGAAATTACTTTGTTGCACAGTATCTGTAGTCTGGTGACCATGAAAACTAATAACTTTTAGTTTTCATTCACTAAGGCTGCTTTAAGCTCTGAAGAAAGAAAGTTTATGACTTCTTTTTAAATTTTTCTTTCTTCGAGTCCTGTTTTCTAATACTTAAACATATGTCTGTATATGTACATGTATATATACATACATATAAAGCATATAAAGCATATATATGCATATAGGCATGCATACATATATGTATATGTAATCTGTGTTTATGCACATATGTGCTATATGCACATATAGTCATGTACCGCAGAACAATATTTTGGTCAATGACAGATTGCATAATGACAATCGTCCCATGAGATTACAGTGAAGCTGCCCTGTAAAGATGTACCATTTTTGATCTTTTATATGGTATTTTCAGTGTACCTTTTCTATGTTCAGATGCAAGTATTTAGCATTGTGTTATAATTGTCTGCAGTAATTAGTACAATAACATGCTATCCAGGTTTGTAGTCTAGGAGCAGCAGTCTGTAATATATAGCCTAGGTGTTAGCAGGCTATACTATCTAAGTTTGTGTAAGTACATTCTGTGATGTTCCCACAATGACACAATCACCTACAGGCACATTTCTCAAAATATCTCTCCATTGTTAAGCTATGCATGACTGTACACACACACACATACACACACACACACACATTCTTCCTAGATTGTTTCTACATCTACTAATGATATATCAGCTACAATTACTTTATCATTAATAGAATTATTATTTGTTCTTAACCTCACAGCATTTCCATGAGTGTCAAATCCTGAGTCCTCTCTGATTTTTTTTTGCTTACCACAAATAAATAAATTACTGCTTTTATCTTGAATATTCTCTTGCTGAAACACATTGTTTCTTTCCTCCATGGCTTAAAGAATAAAGAAAAAATATATCTCTCATTTAAGGTCTTCTATCATGACCTTATGACTCCTTTCTTTCCTGTCTTCAATTCTACTGCCTTATATATCTGTTATAAACATTTGTTCTAATCATGGACCTTTTGATGATCTTTGTGCTTTTTTGCTTACAATCCCCCATTCAAACTATTTCTACCTTTTGAGTAACCTTTCCTTTCTTTCCTCATTCCCCCAAGACTAAGTGATTTCTCCACTCACCACTTTCTCCAGCTGAACAGCTATAGCAATCATTTTTTGGTACTTACCTTCCTTGTACTTTATGATGGCTTGCTATCCTTTGTTATTTTGAGATGTATATACTTGATTGAGGGTTTCCTGATTAACAACTATAGGAGAGGAATACACCAGTAATAATATCCAGCGCTTATTCAGAAATTTTAAAATATGTGTTGATTTCATTTGCAGTTTGCAACTTTAAACCAAACTGGAAGATTTGCCTTTGTGTGTGCTTCGTGATTATTATTATTTTTGCAGCTTGCATTATTATGATAGGTGAGTGGTTTAATTCATGCACTTTCTATGGTTCTTCACACCTGATGGGTCCATGTATATCTCACATTTAACTCCAAATCTCCCAGATCTAGAGTGATTAAGGGTTTTGTAGACACTTGTACTCAAGTTTTTACCAGTTCAACATTTTTTACCATAATCCTTGCCTCTCCTCAAAACACTCTCAGTTTTACAGTAGAATTATGTTCTTGACTTTATAGTCCTTGACGCTTAAGAAAAATAATCTTAAAATCTTAGATGACCACCAGATGGCAACAGCAATAGCTATGTTACTGAAATGCCAGGGGTTCAGTCTAGGTCCCATTGCCCACGGCACAGAAAGCCAATCCCGGAGACAATGACTACTGCCAGGGAAATAGGATTTTTATTTGGGTGGTGTCAACAGGGAGAATGGGAGATCAGTCTCAAATTCGCCTACCCAACTGACTAAAATTAGGGGTTCATATAGCAGGAAAGAAAGGTAACTATTTGTGAGAAAACAAGAATTAGGGAAAGATAACGAGGATGTTAGGCCTGGTCAACAGGAATTAGGGAGGGATAGGGAAGAAGAGTCGGTCAACAGGGAACAGGTGGTCGGTGAAGCAGTCATGATGGTGAGGAGTCCATGGTCTGGAAGTGGTGATCTGGTGACTTTCAGTTTCCTGTTACTATCTGGGAGGCCTAAAGATCAGATGCCTAAAGAAGGAACTCAAATAAGACAAATTTAAGTTTCAAGTTTTAAAACTAGGAGGGTCAATGTCTATATTTATATTTTTTAAAAAAAACACATAAACATCAGTTCTATGGGCTTGTTACAGATAATTTTCTTTTTAAGAGTTTGTGAATTAGTGAGCTAATGTTAAATATACTATACTCTGGTTTTTGTATTTAATCATCATTAGGCTAGGATACAGGTACAAGAAAATCCATTTACAGACAAAAAATATACAGGATACAATAAGTAAGTTGCTTCTCACAAATAATACATTCCAGACCTAGGATCAAAAATCTTGGCTGTATAACTCTAATGCTTGATAAATTTTAAAAATCATGCAGCTCGACCTTCATAATTGTAGCATTCCTTTAATTTCTTTTTAGTCAAGAGTAAGTTATGTCACTAATTGTTTGTTCTATAAAACATTTATTTATTTCTATTAGCTGGGAGGCAAAATTTTACCTCTACCTTCTCAGGGTTTTTCTGCTGGGCCTGAGAATGAAATTGGCGCAAAACACATCAACTTGAGCAAAGCACATGTGTTTAGTTAATACAAGTTTGATGTGACATGCATGTCTTCCTTATGAAAGCCTAAGATGCAGGTAGAGTTGAACGCTTATATATTGAATTCAACAAATGGTAATAAATTATTAAAATGTGGCAACACAAAGGGGCTTGATCTAGGGTAATTACTTGGGTGGAAAAGTGACCAGAAAGACAAATGTTAAATTAACAAATGTTGTTTGTACATATTGCCTTTGGCCTCAACTACCTATCCTTGATTATAAGAATGTTACTTTCCCTCTGGTATAGAGAGGACATCTTCCACGTAGGTATTTTATCTCCTGCTTATAAGAAAAAGAAGGAAGCTTGGAGTGTTTTGTCTTGCATCTGCTGTTTTAAAAGTGCCTTTAACTCAAAAGAGTCTATATGCCAGACTGACATATTTCGGGGCATCATGTTCTGAACTCCTTCACTATCGTATTAAGTTAAATGAAAAAAAATAAAGAAATAATGGCATATGTGACCTGTTGGCAAGACTGTCTCATTGGAGTTGCAATATTTGTAAAAATGAAGTTAAATTTCCTTGGTTCTGTGGGTTTATTTGGTGAAAAAGGTCCAAAGGGAGAATTTAATTCGTGAGCCATGGCCAAATAGTCCCCAGCACTTGATTTTGCATATGCATCGTTTGCTTAATTTAGCACTTAAATTTTGCTAAGTAGCACTGCTGTTTGTTTTGCTTTGTTTGCTTTGTTTTGTTTTCCTTTGGTTTGGTTTGATGTGGATGGGTTTGGCTTTGGTCATTCTCAAAAATGCTGATTGTCTTCTTGTTTATAGTCTCTTCTGTCAGTGTAGTCTGAGAGCTTAATGTTATTGCTGTTTAAACATCTGGAAGTTAAATGTAGACAAAAGTTTCTACAAGGAGGTTTTATATTCATTTATTCATTGATTAAAAGGTGCAGAAAGACAAAAGAAGACATTTATGTGGCCGGTAAACATGTGAAAAAAAGCTTATCATCACTGGTCAGTAGAGAAGTGCAAATCAAAACCATATGAGATACCATCTCAGGCCAGTTAGAATGGCGATCATTAAAAAGTCAGGAAACAACAGATGCTGGCAAGGCTGTGGAGAAACAGGAACACGTTTACACTGTTGGTGGGAGTGTAAATTAGTTCAACCATCGTGGAAGACTGTGTGGCAATTCCTCAAGGATCTAGAGCCAGAAACACAATTGATCCACCAATCCCATTACTGGGTATATACCCAAAGGTTTATAAATCATTCTACTACAAAGACACATGCACACATATGTCTACTGCAGCACAATTTACGATGGCAAAGACTTGGAACCAAGTCAAATGCGCATCAATGATAGACTGAATAAAGAAAATGTGGCAAATAAACACCATGGAACACTTTGCAGCCATTAAAAAGAATGAGTTCATGTCCTATGCAGGGACATGGATGAAACCAGAAGCCATCATCTTCAGCAAACTAACACAGGAACAGAAAACCAAACACCGCATGTTCTCACTCATAAGTGGGAGTTGAACAATAAGAACCCATAGACACAGGGGTGCGAGCATCACACACTGGGGCCTGTCAGGGCCTGACAGAATGAGTAAGTTGTCTCTGACAAATGCTGCATTCCAGACCTAGGATCAAAAAACTGGTCTGTATAACTCTAATGCTTGATAAATTTTAAAAACCGTGCAGCTCGACCTCCATAATTGTAGCATTCCTTTAATTTCTTTTTAATCAAGAGTAAAGTTATGTCACTAATAGTTGTTCTATAACATTTATTTATTTATTAGTATTGGGAGGCAAAATTTTACCTGTACCCTCTCAGGGTTTTCTTTTTTTTTTTTTCTTTTTGTTTTTGCTGGGCCTGAGAATGAAACTGGCACAAGACACATCAACTTGAGCAAAGCACATGCATTTATTTAATATAAGTTTGACGTGACATGTATGTCTTCCTTATGAAAGCCGAAAGATGCAGTAAGAGTTGAACACTTATCTACTGCTTTAAACAAAGGGTAATGAATTGTGAAAACGTGGCAAGTCAAAGGGGCTAGATCTAGGGTAGTTAATTAGGTGGAAAAGTGACCAGAAGGATAAATGTTAAATTAACAAATGCTGTTTGTACACATTTTCTTTGGCCTCAACTACCAATCCTTCATTATAAGAATGTTCCTTTCCTTCTGGTATAAAGAGGATATTTTCATGTAGGTCGTATTTTATGTCCTGCTTATAAGAAAGAGAAGGAAGTCTAGAGTGTTTTGTCTTGCATCTGCTGTTTTAAAAGTGCCTTTAACTCCAAAGATTCTGTATGCCAGAGTGACATATTTCAGTTCTGAAATCCTTTACTATCATATTGTTTTGTGAAAAAAACAACGAAATAATGGCATATGTGACCTGTTGCCAGACTGTCTCATGAAAGTTGCAATATGTGTAAAAATGAAGTTGTTACATTTCCTCTGGCTACAATGGGTTTATTTTGTGAAAAGCATCCAAAGGTAGAATTTAATTCCTGAGCCATGTCCAAATAGTCCCCAGCACTTGATTTTCCATATGCATGCTATACTTAATTTAGCACTTACATTTGGCTAAGTAGCACTGCTGTTTGTTTTGTTTTCGTTTGGTTTGATTTGGTTTGGTTTGGTTTGGTTTGATGTGGATGGGTTTGGTTTTGGTCATTCTCAACAATACTGATTGTCTTCTTGTTTACGGTCTCTTCTGTCAGTAGTCTTAGAGCTTAATGTTATTGCTGTCTAAACATCTGGAAGTTAAATACAGACAAGAGTATCTACAAGAAGTTTTTATATTCATTTATTCATTGATTAAAAAGAGCAAACAGACAAAAGAAGGTATTTATGTGCCCAGTAAACATATGAAAAAAGCTCATCATCACTGGTCAGTAGAAAAGAGCAATTCAAAACCACATAGATACCATCTCAGGCCAGTCAGAATGGTGATTATTTACAAGTCAGGAAACAAGAGATGCTGGCAAGGCAGTGGAGAAACAGGAACACTTTTACACTGCTGGTGGGACTGTAAAGTAGTTCAAACATGGTGGAAGACGGTGTGGCGATTCCTAAAGGATTGAGGACCAGAAACACCATTTGACCCAGCAATCCCATTACTAGGTATATACCCAAAGGTTTATAAATCATTCTACTATATAGACACACACACACATATGTTTACTGTAGCAGTATTTACAATAGCAAAGTCTTGGAACCAAGTCAAATGCACATCAATGATAGACTGGATAAAGAAAATGTGGCACATACACAACATGGAACACTATGCAGCCATAAAAGAGAATGAGTTCATGTCCTTTGCAGGGACATGGATGAAGCTGGAAGCCATCATCTTCAGCAAACTAACACCGGAACAGAAAACCAAACACCACATGTTCTCACTCATAAATTGGAATTGAGCAGTGAGAATACGTGGACATTGGGAGGGGAACATCCACACCAGGGCCTTTCGGAGCCTGACAGAATGATTAAGTTGCCTCTCACAAATAATTCATTCCAGACCTGGGGTAGAAAAGCTTGTCTGTGTAACTTTAATGCTTGAAAAATGTTAAAAACCATGTAGCTCTACCTCCATAATTGTAGCATTCCTTTAATTTCTTTTTAATCAAGAGTAAGTTATATCACTTAGAGTTATTCTATAAAACATTTATTTATTTCTATTACTTGGGAGGCAGAATTTTACCTCTACCCTCTGAGGGTTTTTCTACTGGGCCTGAGAATGAAATTGGCACAAGACACATCAACTAGAGCAAAGCACATGTGTTTACTAAATATAAGTTTGATGAGACATGTGTATCTTCCTTATAAAAGCCTAAAGATGCAGTTAGAGTTGAACACTTATATACTGAATTAAACAAAGGGTAATAAATTATGAAAATGTGGCAAGGTAAAGGGACTTGATCTAGGGTAAATAATTGGGTGGAAAAGTGACCAGGAAGATAAATGCTAAACTAACAAACGTTATCTGTACACATTTCCTTTGACCTCAATTACCTATCCTTGATTATAAGAATGTTACTTTCCCTCTGGTATAGAGAGGACATCTTCCACGTAGGTATCTTATCTCCTGCTTATAAGAAAAAGAAGGGGCCGGGCGCGGTGGCTCAAGCCTGTAATCCCAGCACTTTGGGAGGCCGAGACGGGCGGATCACGAGGTCAGGAGATCGAGACCATCCTGGCTAACACAGTGAAACCCCGTCTCTACTAAAAAATACAAAAAACTAGCCGGGCGAGGTGGCGGGCGCCTGTAGTCCCAGCTACTCGGGAGGCTGAGGCAGGAGAATGGCGCGAACCCGGGAGGCGGAGCTTGCAGTGAGCTGAGATCCTGCCACTGCACTCCAGCCTGGGCGACAGAGCGGGACTCCGTCTCAAAAAAAAAAAAAAAAAGCGCCTTTAACTCCAAAGAGTTTATATGCCAGACTGACATATTTCAGTTCTGAAATCCTTTACTGTCATATTGTTTCATGAAAAACAATGAAATAATGTCCTATGTGCTCTGTTGCCAGACTGTCTCATTAAAGTTGCAATATGTGTAAAAATGAAGTTGTTACAATTCCTCTAGCTACTATGGATTTATTTTGTAAAAAGGATCCAAAGGTAGAATTTAATTCCTGAGCCATGGCCAAATAGTCTCCAGCACTTAATTTTCCATGTGCATGCTATGCTTAATTTAGCACTTAAATTTGGCTAGGTAGCACTGTTTGTTTTGTTTTGGTTTGGTTTGGTGTGGTTGGTTTTGTTTGATGTGGATGGGTCTGGTTTTGGTCATTCTCAAGAATATTTATAGTTTTCTTGTTTGTAGTCTTTTCTGTCAGTGTATTCTTAAAGGTTAATGTTATTGCTGTCTAAACATGTGGAAGTTAAATATAGACAAGAGTTTCTGTAAGAAGTTTTTATATCATTTATTCACTGATTAAAAAGAGCAGAAAGACAAAATAAGACATTTATGTGTCCAGTAAACATATGAAAAAAAGCTCATCAGCACTGGTCAGTAGAGAAGTGCAAATCAAAACCACATGAGATATCATCTCAGACCAGTCAGAATGGTGATTATTAACAAGTCAGGAAACAACAGATGCTGGCAAGACAGTGGAGAAATAAGAACACTTTTACACTGTTGGTGAGACTGTAAATTAGTTCAACCATCGTGGAAGACAGTGTGGTGATTCCTCAAGGTTATAGAACAAGAAATACCATTTGACCCAGCAATCCCATTACTGGGTATATATCCAAAGGATTATAAATCATTCTGCTACAAAGACACACACACACATGTTTACTTCAGCAGTATTTACAATAGCAAAGACAGGGAACCAAGTCAAATGCGCATCAATGATAGACTGGATAAAGAAAATGTGGCACATATACACCATGGAACACTATGCAGCCATAAAAGAGAATGAGTTCATGTCCTTTGCAGGGACATGGATGAAGCTGGAAGCCATCATCTTCAGCAAACTAACACCGGAACAGAAAACCAAACGCCGCATGTTCTCACTCATAAGTGGGAGTTGAACAGTGAGAATTCATGGACACAGGGAGGTGAGCATCACACACCGGGGCCTGTCAGGGGGTAGGGGGTAAGGGGAGCTAGATCATTAGGACAAATATCTAATGCATGTGGGGCTTAAAACCTAGATGACGGGTTGATAGGTGTAGCAAACCACCATGGCACATGTATACCTTTGTAACAAACCTGCACATTATTCATATTTATCCCAGAACTTAAAGTTTAAATTTAAAAAAAGAGCAGAGAGAGATAGAGTTGAAACACGTTATATTGTATATGCTGTGTAATAGCGTGTATCCACTTCTGAGCACTACAATAAGCAATAATAATAACTCATGATGAAGTAGGGAGTGCAGCCTTTGGAGTCTGCCCTACATTTGAGCATTTACTTGACTCTTTACTACTTACATTAATTTATTCAAACATGTGGAATGCATGGACTTGTCTTATTCTAAATACTTAGCACCTAAATAAAACCATGAGACAGTAAATCTCCAAACAATGTGCTTTTCATTATTATTCCATATTCTTCAGCACTGGATGTTAATGAAATGAAACAAATGTTTCACTAATTCTTATGTTTCACTTATGTGCTGTCCTTTATGGCAAATTTCACTTTCCTAGCTTGGGTATTTTCATAGGTAAAGGAAAGCCTCCATTTCTTATCCTAACCTTTGAAGCATAAATTACGTGCAGATCTCCAATCTATCTTGATTGCATAACTTATAGCTAAATTGTGTGCATTGTTTTTGCCAGGATGTCAGTACAGATTGTGAGAAGCTAGTGATTCCATTTCTCAAAATAGAAACCAGGAAAATAGATAAAATATGTATTGCTTGATCACTAAATGATCTTGCTTACAGACAGGGGAAATTAATTCATCCTCATTCTAGGGGTGAAGCTAACTTACAGGCCTCAAACCACGGGAGCAAAAAGTAAAATTAATACACAGAATGAGTAGAAACACTTTTTAACTTGTGCTTTATCTGATCATTTCTTTCTTTTTTTCAGTCAAATGGCCAACATGTGATAAACGTGTGGCATGTTCAGGGGACTGGCTTGCAGTGAGAGACAAGTGTTTCTATTTTTCTGATGATACCAGAAATTGGACAGCCAGTAAAATATTTTGCAGTTTGCAGAAATCAGAACTTGCTCAGATTGATACACAAAAAGATATGGTAAGAAAAGAGAAAAGTCTTCAGTAATTTCAGAGATTGTTTGTATAAAAACATAATAAAAACAATAATAGCTAATACTATAATACTATTGATCCCTGAACAACATAGGTTTGAACGGTGTGGGTTCACTTATGCATGGATTTTCTTCCCTCTGCCACCCTTGAGAGGAGAGCAAGAGCAACCACTCCTCTTCCTCCCCCTCCTCAGCCTACTCAATATGAAAACGAGGATGAAGATGTTTATGATGCCTCACCTTCACTTAATGAATAGTAAATATATTTTCTCTTTCTTACGAATTTCTTTTTTTTTTTTTTTTTTTTTTTGAGATGGGATCTTGCTCTGTTGCCCAGGCTGGAGTACAGTGGCACGATCTTGGCTCACTGCAAGCTCCGCCTCCCGGGTTCATGCCATTTTCCTGCCTCAGCCTCCCGAGTAGCTGGGACTACAGGCGTCCTCAACCACGCCCGGCTAATTTTTTGTATTTTTAGTAGAGACAGGGTTTCACCATGTTAGCCAGAATGGTCTCGATCTCCCGACCTTGTGATCTGCCTGCCTTGGCCTCCCAAAATGCTGGGATTACAGGCGTGAGCCACTGTGCCTGGCCCGATTTTCTTAATAACACCTTCTTTTCTCTAGATTCCTTTATGGTAAGAATACAGCATATAATTCAAATAACATAAAAATATGTGTTAATTTACTTTTATGTTATCAGTAAGACTTCCAGTCAACAGCAGGCTACTAGTGGCTAAGTTTTCTGTTTTTGTTTTCTGTTTGTTTGTTTCTAAGACAGGGTTCTCATTCTGTCGTCTAGGCTGGAGTGCAGTGGTGCAATCTCAGCTCACTGCAGTCTTGAACTCCTCGGCTCAAGCAATCCTCCCACCTCAGCCTCCTGAGTAGCTAGGACTACAGGTGCACACCACCTTGCCTGGCTGATTTTGTTTATTTTTTGTAGAGATGAGGTCTCACTATGTTGCCCAGGCTGATCTCAAACTGGGATCAAGCAATCCTACTGCCTCAGCTTCCCAAAGTGCTAGAATTACCATGAGCTACTGTTGCCCAGCATGGTTAACTTTTTGAGGAGTCAAAAGTTATATACAGTCTTTTGATGGTACAGGGAGTCAGTGCCCCTAACTGCCACATTGAGTGAACTGTATATGACAATATGTGCTAAACAGTGTTCTAAGCACTGAAACTATAAAAACTCATGTAGTCTACAAACACCCATGAAGGAGTTATATAACTCTTCCTGCTTTAAAGATGAGGAAAGTCAGTCACAGAAATGTTATATAACCCAGTCAACGATGCAGCCATAAATTTTTGAACTGGGATTTGGACCCAGGCAAGATGACTAGTAATGCCATGTCCTTTACCACAATGCATACTGTTTATGTATCTAAATGTCTTCATTAAATGTTCTTAGATTATTAAGTCGATTATTTTTTAACCCTTTTCAATTTGCATTCTACCAAGCATAGACAGAAAAAATTAAAATAAAAAACTACAGCTCTTGGAATTTAGAGATAAAGATATGAAGGAAATATGTGCCCTTTGAAGAAGCAAGTGAATTAATGGAAGTAAAGAGGGCAAAGAAGGAGACATGTGGACTCTTGGGACACAAAGTAAGAAAATAGATTAGTTTTTAAAGAATAGCTGGGGGTTGGGTAGTGGCCAAGATGACCGACTAGAAGTAGCTGGTGTGCAAGGCTCTCACAGAGAGGAACTGAAGGTGTGAGTAAATACAGCACTTTGAACTGAAACATCCAGGGTACACGCAATGGAACTAATCAAGGAAACAACTCAATCCATGGACAGTGGAGAAAAGCAAGGCAGGTCGATGGCCAACCTGGGAGTGACATGGAGCCAGGGGAACCTCCCCTTGCCCAGGGAAGTTGTGAGTGAATGTGTAACCCCTGGAACCCATGCTGCTTTCATGGATCTTTGCAACCCTCAGGTCAAGAGATCCCCTTGTGAACCAGCTCCACCAGGGCCTTCAGTCTGACACACAGAGCTAAGCGGAGCCTCAGGAGAGCAGCTGCTCAGGCACATGCAGAGACCCGGGAGCCTTAGATAGCCAGGCTTTCCAGGCTTCCCAGCAAAAGTAATTGCAACTCCAGCCAAGAGGGAGGTCAGACCCCCTGACACGTCCCTAGTAAAGGAGCTGAATCCAGGGGGCTCAGCAGTGACATTCTCTAGGACCCTCTTCCATGGCAACTCACAGGATAGGACCCGCTAGCTTGGAGTTCTAGCCAGCCATCAATAACAGCATTGCACCTCCCTGAAACAGCTCCTAGAGGGAGATGGAGGCCACTATCTTTGCTGTTTAGGTGACTTAGCCATCCAGCCTTCAGGGTTTGGAGAATCCACGTTGACCAGGGGTGGAAGTGGCACCCCAACACAGCACAGCTGCTCTACAAAAAAGTGGCCAGACTGCTCTTGTAAGTGGGTAACAAATCCCATTCCTCCTCACTTTACAGGATCTCCAACCAGGGTCTTTAGCAGCCTCCTACAAGTGTGTTTGGGCCAGTAATAGGTGTGTGCCTCCCTGACACAGAGCTCACAGAGGGAGGGGCAGGCCACCTTCTTTGCTGTTTTGCAGGCTTCACTGTTGGTACCTACAGGGATCAGAAAATCTGAGGTGAATAGGGACTGCAGATGGCCACCAGCATACCACGGCAGGCCTGTGATAAAGTGGCCAGACCGTTACATGGGTGCCCATCTCCTTGTCTCCCCACCAGGAGGGTCCTCCAGGCCTGGGTCTCCAGCCCCCTCTCGCAAGAGCTACTAAGCCAGTAGCAGGTCTGGAATGTCCTAGACAGAGCCTCCAGAGGCAACTGAAAACCTCTCTGCCACTGCCTCTGCACTGGAACTGCCCTTGCTGCCCTCAGACTAATGAAGGAGCCAAGACTCTAAGTCTCTCATCCACCTCTCCAACAAGTTGCAGGAGAGGAGGCCAGTCCATCTCCACAGGTTCTGCCCACCCACCTTGCTCATCACCAGACATGGAACCCCCAGCTTGGGCCCACAGCACAGACCCTCCATCCTGGGCTGAGTGCACTGAATGATTGATTACTTGCATCTCTCTGGAGTAAAGCTCCCAGGAGAAAAGCCAAAGACCATTGGCCTTAACCACTACTAAGGTCTCTTCCATTGCTGCCTCCAAGTTGGAGAAGAAACAAACACTTTGATAACCCAAGAGCTGCAGTCAGCAGACTAAGAGTGCCACGCCGCAATCTACAGCCAGCACTCAAGAGGGAGAGAAATCCACATTTTCAGGACATCGAGAGAGAACAGAGCTGCAACTATCAGGAAACATAAGGGAGCCACACAATCCAACAAGAGTCTCCCAACTGACAAATATGTTCAAGCGCCACCTCCTGGATCACACCTCAAAGCTTCAACACCAAAAATGTCTCACTAACATAACCCCCACTAAAACCAAAGACAAGAAGTCACCTTCAAATAAAGACCCTGCCCAAAGTTTCAGCCATATAAAAACATACAGAAAAGAGGTCTATTGACTGTACTAAATATACACTGCAGGTAAAGTAACACCCACATGCAGTGATGAGAGAGAATTAATGCAAGAACTCCAGTAAATGAAATAGTCAGAGTGTCATATGTTCTCCAAACAACTGCACCAGTTCTCCAACAAGAGTTCTTAACCAGGGTGAACTGGCTGGAATGACAGAAATCCAATGCTATTCCTATCAAACTACCAATGGCATTCTTCATATAACTAGAAAGAAAAAATTATTTTAAAATTCATATGGAATCATTAAAGAGCCCAAATAGCCAAGGCTAAGCAAAAAGAATAAAGCTAGAAGCATCATGTTACCTGACTGCAAACTACATTGCAGGGCTACAGTAACCAAAACAGCATGGTACAGGTACAAAAACAGGCACATAGACCAATGGAACAGAATAGAGAGCCCAGAAATAAGGCCACACACCTATGACCATCTGATCTTTGACAAAGCTGACAAAAAGAAGCAATAGAAAAAGAACTCCGTATTTAACCAATTGTGCTGGAATAACTGGCTAGCTATATACAAAAGATTGAAGCAAGACTCCTTCCTTATACCATACACAAAAATCAACTCAGGATGGATAAAAGACCTAAATGCAAAACCCCAAACTATAAAAAGTTTAGAAGAAAACCTAGGCCATACCGTCCTGGACATTGAAACAGGCAAATTTCATGATAAAGACAACAAAAGCAATGATTAAAAAACAATGCAAAAATTGACAAATGGTATCTAATTAAACTTAAGAGTTTCTGCACAGCAAAAGAAACTATTAGCACAGTAAGCAGCCAAACTACAGAATGGGAGAAAACTTTTGCAAGCTCGGCATCTGCTGAAAGTCTAATATCAACATCTATAAGGAACTTAAATTTACAAGAGGAAAACAACCCTATTAAAAGTGGTCAAAGGACATAAACAGACACTTTTTAAAAGAAGACATACATGCCACCAACAAACATATGAAAAAAACTCAACATCACTGATGGTTAGAGAAATGCAAATCAAAACCACAACGAGATATCATCTCACACCGGTCAGAATGGATATTATTAAACAGTCCCAAACTATAGATGCTGGCGAGGTTACAGAGAAAGAACACTTATACACTGTTGGTGTGAGTGAAAATAAGTTCCACCATTGTGGAAAGCAGTGTGGCAATTCCTCAAAGAGCTAAAAGCAGAACTACAGTGGTTGCAGTGGTGTTTACATGTTTGATTTATGATTCTTTTGTTATGGATGAGTTAATTTTTAAATGTCTTTTCTAAACTAATCAGTCTGTCTACTTTTATTTTTGATCTAAAGTTAGTACTGACAGTTTCTATTTGGATTGGGTAAGACTCGCTTTTAATTAGTTAATTGTTCATTTAAGACAGAACTTTGTTCAGTGCCTATGTAAATGATGTACATAAAAAACTTTCCAGTTCTCTCCTATTGATCTCAATTAGCACACTGCTACAAATAACCCAGAACTATGTGATGGCAGATATGACAGATATAACTATTGGTTAATGGGCTTAATACTTGGGTGATGAAATAATCTGTAAAACAAACCTTCATGACACAAGTCTACCTATGTAACAAACCTTCACATATACCCCAGAACCTAAAATAAAAGTTAAGAGAACAAAAAGCTAATGAAAACGTTTGTCACTTAATAGCAAAAATCCAACAGAGGAGTGACTAAACCCATCACTTAATAGATTTCATTGCAGTAAATTGTATTCATATAGAAGTTAGTTTTATCTCTGATTATATTTAAAAAATACAATATCAGTGGCATTCATACTGTAGTATCTAATCAAAGTATTTTATCACTGGATTTTCCTATTCTTATAGTATTTATACTTTCCATTAAACTACTCCCCCTGCATCCCTTTTTTATGATTTTAGGAAAAGTACCTGTGCACACAAAACATATATATAAGCATTAGTTCTCTATCATCCTTGAAGATGATGCTGTATGAGATCTCATAGAACATGCTTAGGTCCTATATTGTCATCTAGGCAAATTTAACATCAAATTAATTTATAGCCTATGTCATTCACTCTGTGACTAGAACATATGAATGGTTTAGGAATTTGAACTTGAAGGAAATAAAGTTAAATATGGTTTTTCCTTAATTTCTCACTTGAGACATGGAAGTTACCTTTAAAGATAATGAGAGTGTAGCTCGGAGTGTCAATGACTTGATTATAGTCCAACTATTTGGAGATACTTAAGATGCAAAAAAGCAAAATGAAAATCATTCTGATAAAACTAACCCAAATATCAACATCTGTGCCGTTTGCTGTTAGAGAAGCATCAGGGAAGACAAATTAGAATGTGAATCCTAAAAGATAGAATAATTGGGGTGGGAAGTATGTTCAGCAATGTGCTGTAACCTATTAAGTAATCGCTGATTTCCTTTGCTTTGTGAAAGGAATTTTTGAAGAGGTATGCAGGAACTGATATGCACTGGATTGGACTAAGCAGGAAACAAGGAGATTCTTGGAAATGGACAAATGGCACCACATTCAATGATTGGTGAGTTTCCAATGTATTAGGAATGTTCTTATTCTGGTGTGTCTTATGAAAAATTTTAAAGCATTTTGAGTTGTATTATTATAAACAAATCTTTCTATTTTTCATGTGTAATTAACTTTTCAGTCTCCAATCTATGACATAGGCCCGTTCACATTGAAGCACACCCTAGAGCAACCCATTTTCTTCTCACCTTGTTAAATAACACACAGTGAAATTTTCCATTTTTATTTTTATTTGTTATTTTATCTTTATTGTCAAGCTCTTGCTTGACAAATTAGTGCTCTTTTGCTAATTCAAATTTAATCATTCTGCAAATTTTAAGTCAAAACTCATGTATTACTTGTACTTCTTTCCAACTAAAGTTTCTATAAGATTTCTTTGTCTTTAAAGGGTTAAAGACTTTGTAGTTGTCTTTAACATTTCAAATGCCCACCACAATGAATACTATTTATTTTTATTTATTTGTTGCTTATTTTATTTATTTTTATTTCTGTTAGCATTTCCTGGGTGGGTTAAAATTGTTAAAAGTATCTCTTAGATTAAAACAGTTGAGGATTGTATAGTTGTCTTTAGCTTTCCAAATGTTCATCATAAGCAATATTATATTTATTTTTAAAATTTTTATTTTTTATTTAGTTAAAATTTTTATTTATATAACTGTTTCTTGGATACTTATGTATCTCTGCCTTATTATTTTACTAAAGTGCTAGATTAAAAAAAAGCAACCAATAAAACAAATATTGAAATAGGCAAGACAGGACAAATTATACTTATAAATAAGAAAAGATTTGGTTATCGACAAAGAAAATTAATAAAAAATATGTATATTTTTTATTTTGCTGTAAGTTCCGGAATACAAGTGCAGAATGTGTAGGTTTGTTACATAGGTATGTGTGTGCCATGGTGGATTGTTGCACCTATCAATCCATCACCTAGGTTTGAAGCCCCACATGCATTAGCTATTTGTCCTAATGCTCTTCCTCCCCTTTCCCCCACCCTCTTCTGCCCTCAGTGTGTGTTGTTCCCCTTTCTGTGTCCATGTGTTCTCACTGTTCAACTGTTTATATTAGTGTTTGCTTTCCTGTTCCTGTGTTAGTTTGCTGAGGATAATGGTTTCCAGATTCATCCATGTCCCTGCAAGGGACATGAACTCATTCTTTTTTTATGGCTGAATAGTATTCCATGGTGTATATGTACCACATTTTTTTTAACCAGTCTATCTTTGATTTCCATTTGGGTTGATTCCATGTTTTTGCTATTGTAAATAGTGCTGCAATAAACATGTGTGTGCATATGTGTTTATAATAGAATGACTTATATTCCTTTGGGTATATATCCAGTAATGGGATTGCTGGGTTAAATGGCATTTCTGGTTCTAGATCCTTGAGGAATCACCACACTGTCTTCTACAATGGTTGAACTAATTTACATTCCCACCAGCAGTGTGTAAGCATTCCTATCTCTCCACAGCCTCACCAGCATCTATAGTTTTTTGAGTTTGTAATAACTGCCATTCTGACTGGCATGAGATGGTATCTCATTATGGTTTTGATTTACATTTCTCTAATGGTCAGTGATGTTGAGCTTTTTATTTCATATGTTTGTTGGCTGCATAAATGTCTTATTTTGGGAACTGTCTGTTCATATCCTTTGCCTACTTTTTGATGTTTATTTTTTCTTATAAATTTATTTAAGTTACATGTAGATTCTGGATATTAGACTTTTGTCAGATGGGTAGATTGCAAAAATTTTATCCCATTCTGTTAGTTGCTTGTTTACTCTGAGGATAGTTTCTTTTGCTGTGCAGAAGAAGCTCTTTAGTTTAATTAGATCCCGTTTGTCAATTTTGGCTTTTGTTGCTTTTGACATTTTCATCATGAAGTCTTTGCCCATGCATATGTCCTGAATAATATTGCCTAGGTTTTTTTCTAGGGGTTTTATTGTTTTGGGTTTTACATTTAAGTCTTTAATCCATCTGGAGTTAATTTTTGTATAAGGTGTGAGGAAGGGGTCCAGTTTTAGTTTTCTGTGTATGGCTAGCCAGTTTTCCCCAGCACCCTTTATTAAATAGGGAATCCTTTCCCCATTGCTTGTTTTTGTCAGGTTTGTCAAAGTACAGATGGCTGTAGATGTGTGGCATTATTTCTGAGGTCTCTGTTCTGTTCCATTGGTCTATATGTCTGTTTTGGCACCAGTACCATGTTGTTTTGGTTACTGTAGCCTTGTAGCATGGTTTGAAGTCAGGTAGCATGATGCCTCCAGCTTTGTTCTTTTTGTTGAGGATTGTCTTGGCTATACAGGCTCTTTTTTGGTTTTGTATGAAAGTTAAAGTAGTTTTTTTCTAATTCTGTGGAGAATGTCAAAGGTAGTTTGATGGGAATTGCATTGAATCTATAAATTACTTTGGGCAATATGGCCATTTTCACAATATTGATTCTTTTTATCCATGAGGATGAAACGTAAAAAACAATATTGTCAGCAGTCTCTTAGGTTTCTGTTGCAGTATGTTTCAAAAGTACCAAGCAAATATAAATCTTATTTTTACTCTTTGAAAAAGTACATTTACTAAAATTATGCCAGAAAACTGATATCTTAAATTTCAGGAATCTTTGAATTTGGCAACTCTCTCTTTCTTTGCATATAGATAGAAAGAAGAAAGGAAGAAAGGAAGGAAGAACAGAAGCAAGCAAGGAAGGAAGAATAGAAGGAAAGAAGGGTCTTACCCCTGTCTTTGTGTATCTATATGTGTCTATCTACCTATCTACAAGTTGTTCTAAGTAGGGTTACAGATTTTAACTCCAACAAACACTTATGTCCAGTCTTATTTCCCTTAATATGCCAGATATTTTAATGTAGCATATGGTGATGGGTGGGTATATTTTCTGGGAGCTCAGTATTTGGTATAATATATTTAAAATCACTCTATTCTTAATTGTATTTTTGATTACAACTGTAAGTGGTTCCCAGACTGATTTAGAGTGTTCTTTTTCAGGTTTGAAATTATAGGGAACGGATCCTTTGCTTTCTTGAGTGCTGATGGAGTCCATAGTTCCAGAGGATTTATTGATATCAAGTGGATTTGCAGCAAACCTCAATATTCTTTATAGAGCAGAAAAAACTTGAAAATGACTATCACACTTCAAGATTGAAAGAAGAGCTAACTATGCAAAAGTGGTTTTCTCACTCACTCTATTATAGAATACAGAACCTTGTGAGTAATAAACAAAAGAACCAAACGTGACTGAATACATGAAGGATTATAGACAGAACTTTATAAATTCAAGATACATATCTGCTCCAATATGTGCAAAAATCAGAAAAATCCTGATTCTACTAAGGATTCAGAGCAAATAAAATAACAATAAACAATTAGGTGACCTGTGGCTACAATGATGGTTTTAATAAGTCAAATTAAAGGGATCTATATTGATAGGCCAGCCAAGAAGTACAGCTTAGGAACACTTTTACACTGTTGGTGGGACTGTAAACCAGTTCAACCATTGTGGAAAACAGTGTGGCGATTCCTCAAGGATCCAGAACTAGAAATACCATTTGACCCAGCCATCTCATTACTGGGGATATACCCAAAGGATTATAAATCATGCTGCTATAAAGACACATGCACATGTATGTTTATTGCGGCACTATTCACAACAGCAAAGACTTGGAATCAACCCAAATGTCCATCAGTGACAGACTGGATTAAAGAAATGTGGCACATATACCCCATGGAATACTATGCAGCCATAAAAAAGGATGAGTTCATGTCCTTTGTAGGGAATGGATGCAGCTAGAAACCATCATTCTCAGCAAACTATCGCAAGAACAGAAAACCAAATACCGCATGTTCTCACTCATAGGTGGGAATTGAACAATGAGATCACTTGGACACAGGAAGGAGAGCATCACACACCGGGTCCTATTGTGGGGAGGGGGTAGTAGGGAGGGATAGCATTAGGAGATATACCTAATGTAAATGATGAGTTAATGGGTGCAGCACACCAACATGGCACATGTATATATATGTAGCAAACCTGCACGTTGTGCACATGTACCCTAGAACTTAAAGTATAATAAAAAAAAGAAGTTAAAAGAACTATGTGTTCTATACATGTAAATATTAAAAAATACTAACTACCATGACTTTGACGTAAAGAAATGTTGCAAGAGAATCGCATACAAATGAACATTTACTTCAACAATGTCTTTAGGACAAGGAAATACCCGCCTCAAAAAGAACACTGATTTTATTGTCCTAGACCGTTTAGCCTGCTATAACAAAATGCCTTAGACTGGGTGACTTATAAACAAGAGAAATTTATTTCTTACAGTGTTACCGAAATGACAGAGGTCTGTTCTAGGTCCCAGAGCTTGCTACACAGAAAGCCAATCACTTTGGCTTCTGTGAGACAAGTATTGGCAGGGAAGAAAGCTTAATTAGGGTTCTCCAGCTGAGGAGAACAGATCAGTCTCAAATCCGGATTCCCAGATGACTAAAATTGGGGGTTTATATACTGGGGAAAGAATAACTACATGCAGGAAAACAGGAATTAGGGAGGAGTAAAGAAGAGGAATTGGCCATAGGAAGTAAGAGGTTGGTTAGGAAAACAGGAATTAAGAAGAGGTAAGGAAGAGAAGTTTCAATTCCTTGATACTATATGGTAAGCCTGAGGGTCAATTTCCTGAGGAAGGAACTCAACCTTTAAGATAAGATAAATATGGTTTCAACCTTTAAGACTGGGAGGGTCAATTTCTATATTTATCAAAACCATCTTACATGGGACAATTAAGCCAGTTTCAACAGTTCTGGAGGCTGGAAGTTCAGGCATCAATGGATTTAGTGTCTGGTGAGGGCCCATTTTCCAGTTTATAGATGGAAGCTTCTTGCTGTGCGCTCCCATGGTTGAAGAGACAAGGCAGTTCTCTGGAGCCTTTTATAAGGGCACAATCCCATTCACTATGGCTCCATCCTCATGAACTAATCACCTCCTGATGAATGGCTCCATCCCGTAATACCTTCACATTGGTGATTAGCTTTCAACTTATGAGTTTTAGGAGGACCCAAATACTCAGAACTTAGCATCTACAAATAATACACACTGATAAATTATAAGAGTTATACATAAAAATTATAACATACTATATAGACTAGGGTAATAAATATCAAAGTGAACAGAGAATAGGTTAGTGAAAAAAAATTCAATCTCCCAAGTAAGAAAAAGGAAAGAAAATGAATTTGGGGCACATTGTTGGATGCTTCATAAAATTGAAATTCTGTAGGGCATTCAAAAGGTTGTATCAAAGCTGCCTTGTTGCATTAGTGCAGATTTAATTACCTGCCTGGGTAACTGTGATCTTTCAGAACAAGTACAAATGTGAGTATAGATGAATAGATAGTAAGAAAAGCTAGACAAAAAAAAAAGTATCTTGATTACAGTGTGAAAATGAGACAGGCAGGTGGGAAGTAGTTCCCTGGAGAAACTCCCACCAGTCTGCCCACTGAGGTGGAGCCTTGGGAAGTTCACAACTTTTGCATCAAAGAGGAGCCTGGACCTTCCTCTTCCTGTGTGGAACTTGAGATTCGAATGGTCGACAGGAAGTGCTCTAGCAGAGGACTCTGACTTTGTGGAGGATCTTGTTTTCCCATTTTTTTTTTTTTTTTTTTTTGCTTTTCACCCAATAAAACTCATCCTCTAAACCATCTGTGAGCCTAAATTTTTATGGACATGGGTGGGATAAGAACACGGTCTTTAGCTGAACTAACGAAGAGTCCTGCAACAATTTTGGCACACAACATGGGGGCTCAAGAAGAGGTGAGTAAAATGGGAACTCAAAACCTCTCACTGTTGCTCTTAAGTATTTTCATTCTCCAACTTCTAAGGGTGGGGAAAACATGCCTCCAAACCCTGTCACTCTAAGGGTCAGGGGAAAGGGCCTTTTCTTTCTATTTTAAGAGGGACAGGCAAGTGGGGTCTCCTCACTCTGCCTCCCCTCCATGCAGGGGTGGGACTCATGGCCTAAGGGTCCCGCACAGCCAGCTGGCTGGCTCCTAGCCACAAGCTACTGCGGCCTTCCCCTTTCCCACCCAAGGGCTTCAGCTTTATTGGATGAAAATTAAGCTTTTCACCTAGTGAAACATCCACTTTCATAAGAATAAGAGGTTTTTCTCTAGGCATTTTAAACCGATTTTGTTTTATCCCCTTCTCTACCCCATCAGCAGTTAACCTTTAAATTTTTTTTTTTTCCTTTTAGAGGACACTTTTACAAGGTCAGGCCCCCCAACTATAACTGTACTCTCTAAAGTTTTTGTTGTGAAAAAGGATTTGTGGGGCTAGTCTTGGACTATAGCCAATCTGGTGTGCTTTGCATGTCTGTATGGTTTGTGCTGCAGGCCTCCTTCTTGCTTTACATACTGGGGGCATGGCCAGTAATTGCATGACAAGGCTGTTAGGCAGGAATCTAGACCCAACACGGCGGTATCGCCGGGCATGGCAGGCCCTTTGTTAGGACTTCCCACCCTTCACTTCCTGCTAAGACTCTCAGGGCCTGAAAAAAGCCCGCGCCCCCCTAAAAACCCCCCGCTCTGCCCAAACTCCTGGACACGTCATTCCTCAGAAATCCAAACCTAACTCAGGAAAACCGAAACCTACAAACCCCGCCTACCTCGCCCTATAAAAGGCCCCCATACCCGCCCCCAGCGTAACTTCCCCGGCCCTCCTCCTAGGGGACCGGTGAACCTCTCCCGTGAGCTCAATAAAGGCTACCTCTGTTCTCATCTGCCTCGTGTCTTCTTGCTCCGCTCCCCATTGCATTACAAAGGCTTTATTTAGAAGCCCTGCCTTAGGTGATGAGCCCTATCAGGTTAGATATCTACATGCTCTCCTAGCCCTGTCTCTTAAAAGAACTCACCCAGGGACTGGGTTTCCTTCTGCCTATCTGTGTGTATACTGTGTGTGATGTCTGTAAAAAGAGCTTTAATTAATTTGTCCTAAAGATAAGTGCTTGGATCAAGTAATTTTTAAAGGGGAAGATAAAAGCTGTGGTACTTTCAGTTCACATGACTTTAAACTTTGTGAAATAAAAACAGCCTTAAAAATTACCAGTAAAATGCAGGTATCACTAAGAAGTAAATAGGTGAGCTAAATTATGCAGGTTGGAGTTAAGATTTGCTAAAAGTTTTAAGGTTATAAACTACTTTTGGGGTTTTGAGAATTCTTGGACTTGCTGGCTTCACAGTTGGTAAGGTCTGGCAATATATAGAACTAACCACACCATTAATTAATGCCAGAGATTATAAATTCCTCTTCAAAAGGTTTAATTGTGTAATGCCCTTGTTCTTTGTTCAGAGGCCCAACCTTCTTGTACTTCCTTGTTTCTAGCCTGCAAACAGCAGCCCTCCTGCTATTGCTGTGCCCTGACATGCCTAGACATGTCTCAGCCTCATTCTACATTCCTGTCCTTATTTGGAAAAAGGTTAGCTTTCTCCCATCCACAGGCAGCCCTCTTCCCTTCCTTCCTTCTTCCCCATCACACATCTGCCTGACATAGAAGGTTTAAGTGTTTAGCCAATCGGGACTAGTTTGGGTTGTGTGGTCTGACTCCAGCCAATAGGGAATGACACAGAAGGAGGGACTGTGTTAGGAATAAACACCCTTACTCTCCTTTGTTCAGTACAGAAACCGCAGGCAGCCTGTAGCTTTCCTGTCAAAGATTTTAGACCCAGTACATGTGGGTGGCCCGAATGCATTCAATCTATCATGGCTACCATGTTATTGACTGAAGAAAGCAGGAAGTTAACCTTCGGGGGAAAATTAGTGGTAAGCATGCCCCGTCAAGTTACAACTATCTTAAACGAAAAGGCAGGGAGGTAGCTCACTAACTCAAGCATCTTAAAATATGAAGCTGTTCTATTACAAAGAAATGATTTAACACTAACCACTGATAACTCATTCAACCCAGCAGGTTTCTTAACAGGGTATCCAAACCTAAAAAGAGATCACACATGTTTAGAGTTAATTAACTACCACACAAAAGTCAGACCAGATTTAGGAAACACCCCTTTCAAAACGGGGTGGCATTTATTTATAGATGGCTCCTCCCAGGTAAT